ACATAAACAATTACAATATATATTTTGAAAGCATTCTTTCTTTACAGCGTTTTTTCACACCTGCCTAAAATTTTTGGACAGTACTGTAGTTCCCATTTTTAATGCATTGGAATAATCATACTTCACTGTTATCAAAAGCATAGATAACTGTTATAAAATTATTCCAACTCAGGAGAAAATGCAGTTGGAATAAGAATTTGAGACACATGAAACTGAACTAAGCTGTTTAGATCCGATAAAAGTCCATGCTAAACCATTATACTTAATTGTGGACTGCACGGATGGAATAGTGTATTTGCTATCAGTTCCCTTACCAATACCTCCATATTCTGTTGATTCAGTGCATGTTTATTACCTGTTATCCATTTTATTACTGAGTTGTTAAAAATGTCCATTTCCATATCTGGCTTAGATTTTAAAAAAAGTAGTATAGGTGTACTTACATTTGGTAACACCTCACTCTCAATTTTGACTCACTGGCTTCATGTTGTTGTTAAGTAACATGGAAGGACAAGGTATTTAAATAGCTATCAGTTCTTTCCAGCTGTTCTCAAATAAACTACGTCTCACTCCCCTGGTTTGTCTTTAGAGATTGTCAACTAGAATGAATTTCGCAGTTTCACAAAAACTAGGACAGAATCTAAATAATTTATATAGATCAGCTGAGATGAGCCATTTCTCTGAGTTCCAGCAATTTAACAGTAACTCCCACTGAATTATGTGGAGTTCTACTTCCATATATTAAGGACCTTCTCTAAATCTATGTTAGTGTTATCCAATGTGATAGACCTTTAACACATCCCCGTCTCATTTAGTACTGTAGCATGATAGGAGATTAAGTTTAATTCAAGGATTATTATCCCAGATTAGTTGATAATATAGTCTGTATCCTAGTTGAAGAATATTTCAGTATCAGAAAATATCATTTTTTTCTTTTGTTAATTTGACTCACCCATATTCCCTTTAAAGACATGTCTTCCCAAGAAAAGAGAAAAAGACAAAGGCAATATTTTAAAAATGCACTGGCTGTTGATGGTGTTTTGTTTAAACAGTATACCAATCAACCAAATTGGTATATATAGTGTATTATAGAAATCCTGTTAGTATAAGAAAAAATATATAAAATCTGTTCTCATTAAAAATATATATCCCTTAAATCCTTGTACTTAGAGATAAGGATATGTCTGAGGTTTTTATATATTATGTGCATAATGTGGATACTGTATAATGTCTATTGTTCTTTCTGTATTTAGCCATGTAAGATCTGTTCTCTAGCACATATGTTCAGATGTTACATTTAGTTTGATCTCAGTAGATTTAGGTGACTGCATGATCTTTTGTGAGGTTCCAATAACTTCAGTGCAGTGTGTTAACAGATCAGTAAATGGACTTTTTCCTCATTGTACATAATTGTTTTAGCAAATGCTGAAATTAATTTATATAATAGTTTGTAATTTATATCAGTCAAATTTGGTAATCATCTTTTTGCTATATTAATAAAAATATCATACGTTTCCACAATTGATGTAATTGTTAGAATTGACAGGATAGAAATATTGAATATTTGTGTGGGTATACACAGATACTCCTATGAATTTATTACATTTGTATGTGTTGACTCCTCCTAGACTCACAGTGGCTTACAAGACAACATATAATGCAATAAATAAAATGTCCATGGTAGAAAAATCAACAGCAAAATATCAATAATATTCTTAATAACAGTATAAAACAGTATCATATAATAATAACAGTACACGAATAGCAAAACTCTCAACCAATGGTGAACAGTCTTTCTCTAAAGGCCCTACATAAGAGTTCAGTTTTTGCTTTTTAACAATGGGGCCCGGTCTAACTTCATGGGAGAAGTTCCAGAGCATGGTGTTGTGATGGAAAAACGGTGCTTTTTGTCTTCATTGATCTTCTCTGAACCTGTTTTCAGTTGATTTGAATCCTTCTGGACATAATACTTGATGCATGGTTTGACAAACACAGAATAAAATAGAACTATTTCTTCCTGTGATTTGGATGCTATATTGCTGTTGACAGTCTAAAACTGAATATGCCTTTTATTACAGCTGCATCACCCCACTGATTCATATACAGTTTGCAATCAATTACTGTTTTAATACCTTTTTCATAAATGCTATTACAAAACTAGGCATTCTTATCCCATACCTTGCTTTTGATTTTTGCTTCCTAAGTCTGTTGAACTTCATTCTGTAATTTTCAGTTCTTTTCCCTAAACCGTTGAGTTTGGATTGCATTTTATTTTTGTCGTCTAAGATATTAACTATCTTTGTCAATTTTGTGACTTTTCCAAATCTGATAAACATTTCCTCCTCCTCTTCATCCAAGTAATTAATAAAACTATTGGCTGAACCTTGCGGTATCTCACTCCATTTGGAAGAGAAGGCCCTTAAAAGCACCTTTTGTGTACAGTTTTTGAGCTAGCCATATATTCATTTAATTGTCATGCCATCTATCCACAATTGATTAACTTGTTAATCAGAACGTCAGAAGGAAATTTTGTCACATACTTTACAGAAATCAAGATGTATTACATCTACTGCAATTAGTATTTTTTATTGCTCTTGGTTTGTGTCACTTTCCTTTAAAAAAACTAATATAATCTTTTAGTTTATTCATGTTGGAAAAATAATAGAAGTTTTTAAAAACTGTTATTGTTACACTGTTGATAAATGGGTCCTTTCTAAATTCCTAGTTATTCTTATATTTTAGAAGTCCCCAAGGCATGTAGATATCCAAGTTTGGCTTATGTACATATATTTTAGTACATTCTTTTACTTCAAGAAAAGACTGAAACAACTATCCAAAAATGATAGTTTGCATGAGTACAAAATGGCTTGCATTTCCCTTGATTGGAAACACATGAAATCTACATAGTAAGAGGAGACATACCCTGGAATTGGGGTTGGGGGGGGGGGCTTATAAATGTTTGAACAGCTGATTTTCCTTGAATGTGGGGCAGAAATTATTTTTTTTCCTGTTCCTGAAATTCCTCTTTCAGCATCTATTTATAATTATATAAAGTCATAAACACATATTTCGTTGTTCTTAAACTTTAGTATACATGCAGATTCTACATTAATGATGCTTGAATTACCTATATATAATGCTAAACCATTCAATTTTATATTTTATGTACTTTCTATGAATTTACCAACAGTCCACTGTGGCCCTTTAAAGCATCTATCGCAAAATTGAATAGTTAAAAAGGCAAGGATACATTTGTACATTGAAATAGCTGGTGATTACAGAATAAGAATCTAGTAGCAATTTAAACTGAGTCAGTTATATTAAGGCCCAGATGAATTTGCTTTCCTGTCACCTGAGTAGTCATATGCTAGAGTATTGTTTTCTAAGAATTTCCATATTATAGCTGTTTTAAAACTAATTTTCCTTGTGTTCATTTCTTCCATAGACAAAACTTGCCAATGGTACTTCAAGCATGATTGTGCCAAAACAAAGGAAGTTGTCTGCAAGCTATGAAAAAGAAAAGGAGCTCTGTATCAAGTATTTCGAGCAGTGGTCAGAGTCTGACCAGGTAGAGTTTGTGGAACATCTCATCTCCCAGATGTGTCATTACCAACATGGGCACATAAATTCATACCTGAAGCCTATGTTGCAGAGGGATTTCATTACAGCATTACCAGGTATTCTACTTGGATCATACAAAGAGATGTACTAATTTTTCTTTGGAATTTCTAGCATTTTCTGTCAGAAGTTTATATTATATAAGTTTATTTTGATTAAGTCACATTCTAAAGAGCAGTTGGAGCCTTTCATACTTAAAAGGTATAGTGATGTTTTGGTTGGCATCTCAGCAATGTCAACACTTAGACAACCTTAACTGACCTGAAAAGCTAAATATGTCTGATCCTGGTTAGTGCTTAGGTGGGGGATTCCAAAGCCATTGACTGCATTGGAAGTAAAAAAAAAAAAAAAAAAGGTCCTAAAAAAAGGTAGTGGCAAATAATCTCTATAAGATTGCCAAACAAAAAACCTGCATGAATGGAGCTCCCAAGAGTCAAGCACAATTTGAGGACATTTTTAACCTTTATTTTGCTTGGCCATCTAAAACTGGGGTTCTAGTTACTGGTAGCTAAACCTGGTATTGAATTCAGATTGTTGTTGTTTAGTCGTTAAGTCATGTCCGACTCTTC